GCTACAGCCATGTGGTTTGAAATCCTATTCGCATATCAGGACATCAGCTTCAGTCTGAACGATCGGATTTCGGCTGACTCTCAAACACACATAAAATGTATACACAAAAAACAATCTGTAACGTTACATATATACAGCCTTACAGATCTCAATATGCAGTATAGTCCAGGCTACACATTATCATGTTGTAAAATTTAAATAAGAAAACATCTATATTGCAAACGCAAACCCCTCCATCAATGTCAATGTCAGTGCCTTTTTGCCCAAGAGCTGCATGGATTCACAAATCGGATCTGAACAGTTGCGATACACAGTGGACATCATTTTAGATCAGATTCCAATCTGATACAAAGATAATCGGATTTAAACTGACAGTATGAATGTAGCCATAGTTAACTACATCAATATTTTAGCCATAGTCAACGCTTCATTTACACATGTGGCTGATGAGCTGATGCTATTCCTCTCTCAACCACAAACACATTCATCAGTTTTTTGCACTCTTCTCTTTAACTTTTGGCAGTCTATAGAACTCAAAATGTTTTTTCCCGATGCAACCGATTCGTAAAGACCAAAACTCGACCATTTTTCTGCAGAAATAATCAGCCAAATTTGCGAGTCCATTCAGTTCAGTGGCATTGTTTATGTTCAATGCCTCCAAAGTGGCTGACTTCCGGATTGATGACGCGTCGTAAACAACCACTAACAACCACTAACTTTTTTCTCATAAACAACCACTAACTACTGTCTAACTACTTTTTTAAAGGACTGGTTTTTAGTTCCCATATCTATTATATTATTAATATATGATCTATGAACGCATGGTGTTTTTTTAGTAAAAAAAAAGAAAAAGATCAGTAAGTCATGACAACATACAGTATTACTGCAGATTTCGATTACTGCAGATGTTTCATTTTAAGGTGAAATATTCTTTTAAGGTATTATATGATTAAGTCCCAACATGGATTATGCATAACTTTATAATGCATTATATATACTTATATATTCCCATAAAGATCAGTTTTTGTGCATGTCCTCACACAGTAGTGACTGAAATGAACATCAGCAAAAGCAATCAAGATTAAGAACTCTGATGCCTTATAATATGATTTCGGTCAATACTGCTCTGTTAAAAGCACTTTATCAGTCACTCAGATATCTCTAAGAGCTTTTCCAAGAAGCAGAGGTGTATAGTTTTACCGCAGTAATACACTTGAGCACCCATTAGACTTACTCAATACCTTCCAAAGTAACTCACAGAAGTAATGATCACCACAAACGTCAAAACTAGCCGCAATTTATCTCTCACACACAGGTGTACACATCCGTTGCTGAGCGAAGCTATGGTGGCTTAGTCACAGAATGAAGTACTTGGGAATATATGACAAATGTGATTAGTGTGAAACGCAATATTATAAGTTGCTGCAGGTGTGTTTTAAACCTGACACAGGATTGAAAATGGCTCCGATTGCGTTGAAGCCCTTGTTTCTCAAATCCCTTTAGGGGGTATGACAGACGGGTAGAGAAATTAACAAAGGAGTAATTTAGGTGTGTTGCCTTCTCTTCTTCCTGGAACTCCAAGTCTATGGAGACTTCATAAAACTCTCATTCCTGGCAGTTAAGGTACAGGAAACCACAACACTTTTTGAAACTAAAGTGTGTATATGGCAATACATTCTTTCTATAGATATAATCAACAACTTTAAACAAATAATTGTATTTAGTGTTAGTAATGGTGTTTCTTCATCATTGTTAAGTACACAGTCTTGAACATTGCCTTTTTGTCCGATTCTGAATACTCGCATTGCTTCAAACATGTTTTTAATGTTATTATGATTGAATTTGCTAGTTAGCTTGGCTCAGGCCAACACTTTGTTCCTGAATAAATCAGCATTTTTGCATTGGCTGAATGAACCAATCAACTGACTCATTAACACAGTCACTTGTCGTAAGCTTGGCATAATGTAACTATGGGTGCTTCTCAATCAGAAAGATGAGTCCTAGTAATGCTGCATATCTCAGCTGCCATGTCATCAAGCTCCTTCAAAGGATGTCTTGATTGAAAGGATCCTTTGAAGGCAGGCTTTGTTTCGTGTCCTTCATCCAAGGATACATCAGGTTTATCTTTCGCGTTCACCAATCACCAACAATTAGTGAACAATTACCGATGTGAAAACTGTGGCCGATACCAATAACCAATATTAATATTGTTGTAATTGTCACAGTGTCTGGTTGTGTTTCCCTGGGTTGTCACTAGAGGTCCTTATTCTCACCATGTCCTTCACATTTGCCTTCCCAGCATTCTGTCGGTCACTTATCACTGTTCCACTTAATCATTGTACCCAGCTGTTCCTGGTTAGTTCTTTGTTAGATCTGTGTGTATGTTCCCTGTCTGTTTTATGTCACCACACTTGCATAGTCTGTATCTGCCCGTTTCTTGTTTTTGTCTTGTGTTTTGGATCGCCTTATTGGATTGACCCCTGCCTGGATGACTACGAATTTGGATTGCCCTTTAATTAAAACTACCGCTATTGGATTTTCTGTTCCCTGTTGTGTTTTGTGACCGTAATGGCCGATATCGATATTTACAGATGTTGATATTTCTGTATAGAAAACGCATAGCGAGGATTAGGGCTGCACAATAGAGGTAAGCGGATATGATGCGATTGACTCGCGACTCCCAGCTCACCCCTGCTCACACGCCCCGTTTCCTTGGTTAAAATCTCAATTTTCTCGCGATTTAAACATTGTTTGAAACATTTGGATTATTGCAAGTTATCATCTTAGCTAAATATATAACATTGGCCTTGTGATTTTGGTATATTTTAATGCAAAAATCTTAGGTATTCCACCTTTAATCATTAGAGTGACTGGGGTGTTTTTGTCATGGAGTAAATCCGGATAGAATCTAATATTAATAGAATGATAACTAATGTAGTTAACTAGACTTTAATAAATGGAACTTTATTGTAAAGTGTTTCCGATTTATGTCTCTTGAGTTCAGTGTTGGACAGATCAGTTGTTTTAACCATTCGAAGGGAATTGGTTCAAAGGAGTCATTAGTTCGCGAATCGGATGTTTCATTAATGAACCACGGTACACGTTGATTATCCAGGCAGTTTAGGACATTGCACAATATTTCTCAACACAGAAAACATTTCATCACTAGATAGATTTTTTCATTTGTTTAGTTTATGTCATCTGAATGTGGGGAAAGCTTTTCAGAGCAGATAAGGCAACGTTGTTTTAGTACAATTCACAACCAATGGTAGTTCAGAAAAAAAAAAACCTCACTCTTCCGAACTTTTACTATTGTGTATTCTCAAAGATATTCAATAAACTCAGTTCATTAATATGCATGAGGGAGGGCGAGAGAGCAAGACAGTTTGAAGCATAGACTGTAAAGGTTTGAAGACGGTGAGAGTGTGCGCACACACTTCGTTCTCTCTGCTTGTTCTCTCAGTTAAACAAGTGCAGCAGTCAGTCATCTACATCACTCACCGGTCAAATATGGCTTTGGCGGGACAAAAACACCTTACTAAGACTGACAGTAAACAGTGCGCAAGTTCCAATCTTCTTGCATTTGATGTTTAAACTGACAAGACTTGCGCTCATAATGTATGCACTTGCAAAAACAAACATCCCTGCTCCCACACTCACATCTAGACACACGTCAAATACACAGGAATGATTATCGGCCTGTTCACATCGGCCCTATTTTGACATCGGAATGATACCCATGTGTAAAAATTGTACCAAATCAGGCGATGTTATTTCGGCGGCCGATATATCGTCCACCGCTACCCAAAATCATTTGTTCATATTCCAATTCACACAAAAAAAAAAAAAAAAGCAGAAAATGATTTGGCACTGAGCTTGTCTGATTTCAGTATGTAATGCAAGATTATTTTTATTAATTATTTATTGATTTCTTTTTTTTTTTTTTTTTTTTTGGGGGGGGGGGGGGGGGTGGGGGATAGAGGTATATTGTTTTCTTTTATTTTGTTGTACTGTATATTAATCACATAATGCAAAACTGTGTCCTAACCTAACGAGTCAACGTTTTTATATTTGAATACTATACATTCTTACAATGTAAACATCCTAAACATTTCTGATTATTATCAATGTTGAAAACAGTTGTGCTGATTAATGTGTTTGTGTAAACCATTGTAACAGTTTAAGCCATTTATCCCCCTCCAGGATTCATTGTAGACCCCAAACATAAACGGTAGTTTACACAAATTTGTAAAATGGAGGACCAAGTAAAAGAAGCAACACTCGTTATTTAACTTCTAAAATAAGTAAGTCCTGTAGCTGACAACTGTGTGCAAAGTAGTTGACTTATGGTGTTGCTCTGATTGGTTGTAGGTTCACCGACTATCCAATTGAGTGCAGAGGTTTTTTTTTTTTTTTCCCCTGGTTCGGTTAAGACACGCCTCATAATCAAAGCCCTATGGAGCAGTTTCAAACTCACATTCTGACAAGAATATGAGTATGACGAAGTCAGGCTAGATTTAAAAAAGAATGAAGAGAAAAATAGAAGAAATTCATATTTTTACTCGGCAATGATGCATGAAATTGACCAAAAGAAAGAGAGAGTAAGGATTTCTGTTTTTTACTTTCTATTCATCAAATAATCCTGAAAAACACACAAATATGAAGCAGTACAGTTGTTTTCAACACTGATAAAAATCGTAAATGTTTTTTTTTGAGCATCAAATAATTTTTCAAATCATCAAATTAAATCATCACTTTTCATTAGAATAATTTCTGAAGGATGATGTGAAGCTGTGATGCTGAAAATACAGCTTTGATCACAGCAATTAATTACATTTTACAATATTAATTACATTTTACATAGAAAACAGATATTTATTTATTTTTATATAATTTCACAATATTATTGTTTTTACTGTTTTGGTGAAGAGTGATAACATTTGTAACAAGACCATTCAACGCAATGTTTGGCATTAGTGTATGTTTGAGGTTTTACTTACAAATCATATGGTTCATCAATAATGCTTTAGAGATGATGATCAGCTCCCCTCTGCTACGGTGCAGGGCATCAGCACTGAAGGATCTAGGAACACAACAAGCCATTTTGAGCCAATAATATAATTATACTGTACAATGCCAGGTTTATTAAAAGGAAATAAGCTACAACAGATGTGAAATGCAGAAAAGATAAAGAATTTAAATAACATACCGAAAATAAATTTCTTAACTACGAGAACAGAATTAGTTTTTGGGTTTACTTATTCATTTAAGTTTGCTCATAGTGTAACTTACGTTTGGATTTCAAAACCTTCTTAAAATAAACAAATAAAAAATGTAAATCAATGTAATTATTTTGTAAAATGACTAAATGCCTGGTGTGGTTCTAATGCACAACAAAGCAAATATTTTTTCACTTTTTTTCACTTTCAAAAATTTATTTCAATTTATGAGACATGTTCATTTTGTATTGAATGCTATTTATTCCATATCTAGATATGAAATATTATTATACTATAAATACTACCAACATACATGTGCATAAGTTCGTGTCTGTACGTGAGAAAGAAAAAAACACAGGACAGGTTAATAACTTTTGGAGGCTGGCTCTATTTATCATAAAAACAAAAATAAATGACAGATTAGGTGGATGAGGGCAAGGATCCAATGCAGGACAACAGGTCAACTGTTCGCGGGACAGGCGGAACTACCGCTGACAGCGGCCGTCATCCAGGCCCAGCTCCGGGAGCGAGCAAATGGTGAAACTCGTAAAACGGTTTGCCTCCGAAGGGTCCGGTAAACACAAATACAGCGATGATGATCCCTACACCGCTCGTTTGCTCTCCAGAGCAAATACAGAGTGGTGACTCTCTCGATGAATGCTCAATTAACATAAAAAAGATGGCCGAATACAAATACTTGGTCGCTTCATCTGGAATGTTTAGTCGCGCCTCTGTGAAGTTCTGAAGGCGTTGCCGCTGGCAACCAATAGCATCTCCTCCATAGAGAGTATAAGAAGTGGACAGAGCCATCTCATTGGAACTCAATTGAGACAAGTGAACCCCATTTTTAGCGATTTTTTAGGACTTCTGTTCCTGACGCGGAGACTCAAATCGACTCAAAGTCTCAAACAGAGCTTGACGACGTATGTGACGTGAGCAACCTGTCTGTCTTCTAGTGGCTGTGGCATGAAAAATCTGAATCATTCCCTTCCGAAACTTGCGGAGGCGGAGAGTGTGAGTAGGTGCTGTCCATGAGCTAGGAGCAGGAGAAACTTTTGCTAGGTATTCTGATTAATTATTTTGTCATTTTGCCTCAACGTTTCCCCGATTGCCCGCAAGCTTCTTCTCCTGTCCATACGGTAATCTCTCTATTGTGCGACAGAGAGTTGCGTGGTTATGACGCAATCATTAGCCTACTTTTACAAAAAACTGCTTCTACGGGGCCATATCATAAGCAACAAGGTAATGGAGCATTTTATACATTGTCGTGTTTCTTTATAATAATGGACAAATGGAGACTTCAAACGCCTCAGATGTAGAGTTATTCACTGTCAAAATGACACCAAAATGAATGGGAGTCAATGGAAATGCTAATGCAAGTGAAATTCCGCTACAAGATGGCGGCACCCGGCCGGCTTCAACTTCCGTCGATGGATTACCCCCTTGGTCTCCTCCCATCATGGCCGTATGTGGATAATAATGCTGCGTTCATGTGCTATGGTAATTATGGTAAATACCAAAAGCCGACGTGGAAAATGCACACGAACACCCCCTCATGTGATATTTTCTACTGGGCAACACGTAGAATATTTTGATGGACGAGTTGCCGAGATGAGATAACCTTTGAACTTTTCAAAATGGCCGAGAGCACCGCAAGAGTCGTGAATGGTAAAAATATACTATACATGATCTAGAAAATATATAGCATATTATTTACCTTTTGAGTTTTGATGATTTATCAAAACTCAAAAGGTAAATAATATGCTATATATTTTCTAGATCATGAATTTTCTTGCTGTTTCAGATGACTTAAGCAATCTAAAATAGTTTTAGTTAATTAACAGGTCTGGATCTCCATCTTTTTACCACATTACGACAACAAAAGCACTTGAATGCAACACACTGGTAAATACCAATTCACAAGTGGAAAATATCCTACTTTCCATAGCATGTGAACGCATGGCTGTGCACTTCTCAGCAAAGTGATTGTCTGTTGGCCTAATACTTTTACATGCTGATATGCTTGAGCTTTTGCTATTTAGCTAAAAAAAAAAAATATGAAACATTTAGGCCAGGGCTATTCAATTAGTTTCATTCCAGGGCCACATTATTAAATCGAAAAGTTGAGGTGGACCGGTGGGTTTAGCTCATTAACGCAAGTTTCAATAAGTAAGGTAAAGTAAACCAAAAAAAGTATTGTATTTACTTGCAATGTGGTATGCAGATGTGAACACCAAAATGAATAACTTATTTACAGCTACAAATATATGAATTATACAATATCATGGCTATTGGTAAGAATTATTTTATTAATAATTATTATAGGCTTAAATTAAAATATTCTGACAGTGAGACTTGCCTAAAAAATCTCGAAATGCCTAAAAAACCAAAACCATTATTTAAAACCATAAAAAAAATGCCTAAACAGGTAAAAACTATACACACAATGAATTATATATTCCTCTACCCCCCTAATAAATCTAATGCAATATAAATGATTACAACTGTGACAAAGTCCCAAGTTACCCCTGATGGCAGTGTGTGCCCTGTCTGTTTGCTTTATATTCTTTTTATAAATGTTTGTTTCTCATTATTTGGTGAATTTTTCTAGTCTGAGGTGCACATTAGACTGATAAAAAACACCATGTGATCTATTTCTTTTAATTTGGTATTTACATAAATCATTAGTTTTATCCTCATTTGCAAAACTAACCTTCTGGGTTCATGTCTGCAGCATGGTTTCCGGGCGTGTTTAAGAGGACGGGCGGCCTTCCTGTTCCTCATTTTATGCCACCCCAAAGAATTGTGGGTAGTACAGGCATAGTCCATTTCTCAATGGGAGCAGGGGGTTATTGTTTCATGTTTTATTGTGTATATGTTCATTGTATGTAGAGATGTATTTGTTTATTATTCTTATTATTTTCCTTGTATAATTAAGGTTGATGTATTTTGAATATTATTTTCATTTTAAGTGTAGTTATGTATTATGTGTGTGAACATTATTTAATTTCCCTTTTACTGTAAAATGGTTGACCCTTTCAGTATAAAGGAATGTTTGTCTGTGAAAGCAGTTCTGGTGAGGAGCACAAACACCGTAATTTACCATTATGGCTTCTCTAAAACTTGATCTAAAACTTTCTGTCTCTATTGCTCTAAATACATTCACGGCTTCAACACCCAACAACGAGAAAGCGGACCGCGAGCTCTTTTATTTGCATCTGTGTATTCCTCAGCCTTGCACATTTTCATCAAAATCTCTACATCAAATGAGATTTCATTAGTAATTTTTACATATGAAGAGTTCAGATGCAAAAGCCTCTAAATGCCATTTGAAATTTTCTTCTTTAATGATGATTTTTATCAAACTTGTATATTTAAGTTCAGTAATTATCATTATCATTCAACTTAAATATACAAGCTTGATAAAAATGATGATTCTAGAAGAAAATTTCAAATGGCACTTAGAGGCTTTTGCATCGACTCTTCATATGTGTTTTTAAAAGACCTCTGAAGACCATTTAGCGTATTAATTTGGAAATAAATTCAACCTGCATGTTGCTCTTTAATATAAAATTACATGCATTAAAATATATATGTAAATATATTGTCACATATATTTCAATATAAAAAGCGTCAATTCCTTATTTATTATTCAATATATTCTAATATTAACAATATATTATTCTGTATATTTTCAAATATACTGTTTAACCATTTAATATATTGATCATTGATATATGGAAGAAAAAAAAATGTGTATATATATATATATATATTTATTTTCATAAGGGAATGCATAGGCCAGTCATCACAAACAACACCTTTGCAATCAGCTATGAACCATTAAAAAACATCAGATTGTTTTGGCAACTTCTGCATTTGTAAGCATCACTTACATTTTCAGAAAATGTAATAATCTAGTATTACATGTAAAAATGTAAGTGTAAAAATTTAGTCCCAAATTCAAATCCACAAATCATTTCTTCTCTTGAATACATTGAGAATCAGTGTCATATTTACATCTGTGAATTATTGCTGTGCCCTGGAATTACTTGCTTATACATTATGCAACAACTGCAGCTTTAAACTGCATTTCACTACATAAAAAGCATCCGCTTGCACACAATTTCAGTTTAGACATGTGATTATACATGTTGAGCACACCATCACGCATGTTGGCATGCTGAAATTAAAGATGTTGTGGAAGAGGTGGGCTAATCTTCCCTTCCCTCCCTATAAGCGCATTATGCATCTCTGTGCCAACTTCATCAAGAAAGCGAACGCCTCATCCAATGATCACAGGAACTGCTGATGTCAGCTCCAGCAGTGGTACAGCTATACTGCAGATGCATGCACGGTGATGCAACTGCCTTTCAGAGAAAACGGGTTGTGAAAGAGATAGGCACAATGGGTCAGTGGTATGGCTCATGACTCAGCTCTTCATCTGAAAACGTTAAATGCATGTGTTTGTAAACCTTGTTTGGGAAAAAAAAAATCTGCTTCAACAAGAATGGTTGTAATGAGATGATATTACGCAAAGAGCTCTTGAACGTAATGACTTTTCTTGAATAGGAGGCTCAGTACATCTGGGTAGAAAACATTTATTTGCGCAATTCACCTTGTGGTTTCAGTGGTCTGAAAATGGTTTGAAATAATTTTGGCATTTAGACTAGCACAAACAAATCTAGCAACACCTACAGATTTTGGGTTATTTTTCACATATCACAAAAGCAAAGAGTACTTTGTGAATAAAAATCACATCACTTTTGAGTTTATTTTATGATTCTGTTGAACTCAAAGACACTTTTGAAAGTAATAAAACTTGAACAAATTCATAAAGTTCTCTTTACAGTTGGACTATACAACAACAACTCCCCCGGAGGAGCACTGCAGTGAGCCGCTCTTGCGTTCCTTCCCTGACTCCCCAGACACCTGGTGATTGTTGACTCTGTCTGTGACCTGATCAAGGTTTTCTCCATGGCAACATGCTGTGTATCGCTATGACAATCCTGCGGACTGAGGCACCTAGATTATGATGCCAGGCATAGTGACTCTCTAGGCCTACACATACACAAACTCTTACATATATATCGTCACTGCCCGATGAAACTCGTGTATGTCCAAAACGGTTACTTTTCAGGAAGTGAAAAAAAAAACGTAATTTCAAAACCAGCTGAACGTAGCGTTTTCATGCTTGGTACAACATCTTTAAATGTAACCATATTCTTGCCAGTGTCATGATATAATCCACATTTGACCCAAAATCGAGTTTAAATGGACATACGTGCATATTGTACAGTAACGGTGGTCGATACGCGTTCTTCCAATCATTAATTAGAATGACCAAATCGCGTTTCATATTGACAGATGAATAGGCTACGCTCAGTTTATTAAATAGCCTACGTCCCAGTTATCAAATATGCTCAGTTTATTAAATGTCTCTTGCAAACTATGAAGAGACAATGAATCAATACACTGACATGGCAATGCTAGACTGATAATTTGTTAATTTGTCAGTTAGGTGACGCCTTGGGAGTGAGAATGGGCTGCATTATACACTAAACAGTTTTTAGAGATAAAATTCTTTACATTCGATTATCACGAAAACAAATCTCAGACAACAGTTGACTAGGTACCGATGTTTTATTAGACCAAAGGTTCATTTTGCACATACCGGAGTTCTCCTTTAATGATCCCAAAGCCACGGGCCATCCATACTGCATTAACTTCTTGTTAAATGAGTGATGAATTGGTTGCAGTCTGCTTATAGAAGATAGCCACATTCACACACATATACACACTAGTTTTATAGTTACCGATCCCATGTTTATGCTCTCTCTCGCCATGCATGTTGAAGACAGTGAGAGTATCACAGGAAGAGAATTTCTGCAGGCGACTCCCATTCCCAAAGTGCTCAGGTTGCATTAGGTGTGGCACCAGCTGATGGCTAGACCTCAGAGATGACCCCACCACTGTCAGAGCCAGTTAGCCTCTTGCAGGCGATCCAGGCGGGAATTCTGCAACTCCACGCTGTTTCCGAACAATCTGACTTCGCTGTGCCCTGAGGCCCCTGCTGGAAAAGGAAGAGCATGGAAGAGAGCAATGCTGTAGGACTCTTACCATAATTATAGCTGAGTAAGTGCTTCCTTCAGAGCTGGTGTTTGGATATTAGTGCTTTGGGTTTAGAGACTGGGTGATTAGAGCTCACAGTGGGGCAGAAAGGGGACAAATCAGTGCAGAGAGAATTGGTGCGGGCTAATAACGTCACATAAAAATGCTTAATGAGACGGGGCCCTTTCTATAACACCAAAATATTCTCTTTGAGCTTCGAATCTAATGAGCCAAGAAATATTTTTCTGTCTGCTCATAACAATTAGCCAACAATTCCTACTGAAAAAAAAAAAATGCTTTTGTTTTGTAACAGCATACCAGCATTGGGTACGTTTGATAATGTAGATTGCAAAGCTATTTCAACTGCGAACTACTCTTATGAAAAATTAGTTGGCTATTCTAAGTTTCAAACTAGCATTAGCTATTTTGAAGCTTCTTAAGAGGCCAATACACAATTTAGATATAATTTATATATTATTATATCTGCCAAGACATGCAAACACAATTTGTTGAATGACAATAAAGTGAATTTGAACAGGAAAAACTATAGTACACGACAAGTCTAAGACTTAATTTTATGAACAGCTGCATTTAACTAGGCTAAATTTTCTGAGCCGAAAATGCCATTAAGAAACTCAGATCAGAGCTAGAATTAAATTGGACTCTCTGATGAGATATGTGAAAATGAGAGGGAGGACCATTTAAAACAAACTGATTCACTATAATGATTTGAACTATCCAGCGCTACATAATAGGAGAGGGAGGATCTTTTAAGAAGAACCAATTCATTAGAATTAATTGAAATTTCCTGCAATAGACAAGAGGGAGAGGCTTCATGACAAAGAACCGATTCTCTTGAACAAATTGAACTTTCAGGCACCACATACGAGATAGCTAGAGGACTGTTCAAGAAAACCCGAATTGCATGAATTGTTGAAACAATGCGACAACAAAAACAGTGGGGTTTTTTATGCCACGCTGCTATTCACTGAAAAAAAGCTGCTTTCTGAAAAACTTATTCTATTTTAAAAACACAACCTGCACTTTTTTTGAAGTACATCCAAGGGTAACAGAATATTAAAAGAGAAAAATATGTAGGCCGGTGATTTTGATATGGCTTTGGTGACTTTTTGATTAAACATTACAAGGTCAAAACATTTTTTTTTTTGTTTTAAAAATGAAACAAGCACAGATAATGTGTTCAGAAAAAGATCATGATAACATTAAAAAGTTTTACTATCATACCTGTCACTTTGTGCATCCAGTGAGGTATGAGATCGCGTTGATATTTCTGATGAACACTGACAAGGACTGGACGTTAATACCGGTAAGAGGGTTATGTAATATGTCTGTGTTTTGAATAGCTTATTTGTCACATTACACCTTCTGTCAGAAACTACTTTCCATTGCTGACAACTGAAGCACAAGGACACTTATTTTTTTTATTTACAGTGTCATTTACTGTTTCTTGTAAAGAGGACCTTCATTTGTGTCCGTCTGATAGCTGTACAGGTGTTTAAAGGCAACATAAACAGATTAGATCTCAAGCTGTCGGCCATTGTCCTACACATTTAACATTACATTAATTTACCTGTCCTACATGTCCTCGCTGTTAACATCATTATTGTCCTCCTCATT